AAGCCCTAGAAACATTCTCATAAATCTCCTCTGTGCTCACTCTAGAACAATAATTTTCTTCTTGTTAACATGGTGACCAAAACTGCTCACAAAATTTCATTTTTTGGCCTAACCAACATCTTATATAGTTCCCGCATTACATCCTTTCTTTCATATGTAACCCTTCACCCAATTAAGAAAAGCAGCCCATAAGCCTACTTTACCATCTTATTTATCCATCCTGCCATTTTCAGTGACATGTGGGCATGTACTCCAAGGTCTCTCTGTCCCTCCGCCCCTCTCAATACCCTCCTGTTTATTGTTTATGGGGTATTAGGAGGTATTCTTCACTTAAAGGATAGTGAATCTTTTAAATTCTCTACCTCACACAGCTGTGGAGGTTCAGTCATTACGTTCAAAACAGAAATCAATAGATTCCTAAATATTAAAGGGATACGGGCATAATGCAGGAAAACGACACTGAGGTAAAAGATCAGTCATATCATGTTGAATGACAGCGTAGGCTTGACGGGCCAAATGACCGATTCCTGCTCCTATTCCCTTTGTCTTTATATAAAACTACACAGTTCAGACAAAGTGTGCCTGTCAATGATTATAACTTGCATTACAAAGTTTTATGAGGCAAACTGCATATAATTTCTACAGATAATGAGACCAAGTCCCTTTATCTGAGAATGTTCCATTATGATCTGTAAGTCTTCTTCAGTGTGGGTAGCAACAGTACAGTAATGAGCAAACAACAGCATCCAAACTGTCCAAACTATAATTTGTCATTCACTTTGAAGCAAAGACAAATTCTTTATCCCAATTCATGTTGACATAAACAGCAACCAAACAAACAATGGCAGCAGCTAAAACACAAGGCAGTTTTACACCATGAGAGACAGAGCAGGAGGTAGAAATTTCACTAATCTATGACTTTGGCCATCATGGAATTCAAAGATCATCTGAATAAACTTTTCAAGAAAACCAATTTTGGCCAGTAGCATCCAGAGACCCACTCTGCTGACAGTGTCAAAAGTCCTTTGTGAGATCAACAAAGGCACATTAAAAGTCATGTACGTTCTCAACACGTTTCCTGAAGCTGTGTAGCAGTGAAGACCTCCAAAGTACCACCGGTTTTTCTGAATCCACACTCGCTATCAGGCAAGACTTTTTCAGCTATATGCACAATATAATGTTTGAAGATAATCCTAGCAAGGACATTCCTTATAATAGGAAATTTCCCCTATCTTTGTCACACACTTCTGATTGATGAATGTATCTCCTATACTCTTGTATGGATTAATTAGCAGCCAGAAGAACTCGAAGACTAAGCTATTCAGTGCTGTCAACAGACCTTACAGTGATAGCATCACAGCTTGTATTTTCAACACTGGAGAGAGATTTGATAGCCTAATCGTCCAATGAAAATTCTTCGGACAGACACTACGTTCACACTTTGTGCAGGTTGATCTGTGACCTAATTTCCTGTACCGGATTTGATCTGTCCAAGTCCAAGATTCATCAGTCAACAAGACAAGCACCACCAATACTACTGACAGGAGTGCTGCCTATGGAAGACCATACATGGTTTGTAGAACCTTATCGTGCATACTGCCCTCTACGATAAAACTGTTTTGTACTATCTTATATACAAAAAGAGGCATAATTGACAGTGAATATGTGATGTTGCTTTCCATAGAGCTATTGACTCATGTCTACAGTTGTCTTGTGCTACTTCTAAGTCTGCAGAAAAAGTGGTATAAATTCAAAATTCACTTTGACTCCAGCACAAAAATTATATCCCACATTTAGATCTTAAAAACTTTACTCCTAAAATTTTCATCAACTCTCTAAGTTGAAAAATTTCCACCCCTTCCGCAGTCTGTTTCTTTCTCAGTTCAGCGTTAATGCATACAATACTGGAGTGATGCAATACGAACGAGTTGATGGATCAGTTGTGCGATTCACAAATACTGTTAAGTCAGGATGTAATAGTTTAAATAAGCATGCATGGGCAAATTTTCTTCCACTAATTCCAACATGAGGAGGAGTGAAATTCTATCTAAACATGTCTAATGAACATTATTTGATCAAATTAGGATTTTTGGTGAAATTTATGAAGAAGGGTTCTGAAAAGATTTACAAGGATGTGAGTGTTGGAGACCTTATAGAGGTTTATAAAATCATGAGGGGCATGGATAGGGTAAAAAGACAAGGTCTTTTCCCCAGGGTGAGGGAGTCCAAAACTAGACAGCATAGGTTTAAGGTGAGAGGGGTAAGATTTAAAAGGGACCTATAAGGGGCAACTTTTCACACAGAGGGTGGTGCTTGTGTGGAACAAGCTATCAGAGGAAGTGGGGGAGGCTGGTGCAATTACAACAACATTTAAAAGTCATCTGGATGAGCATATGAATAGGAAGGGTTTAGAGGGATATGAGCCAAATGCTGGCAAATGGGACTAGGATATCTGGTTGGCATGGACGAGTTGGACCGAAGGGTCTGTTTCCATGCTGTATATCTCTATGACTCTATAACAAAGAACAATACAGCACTGGAACAGGCCCTCTGGCTCTCCAAGCCTGCGTCAACTCATTTTGCCCCTCCATACTAAAACTGTCTTCACTTACAGGATCCGTATCCCTCTATTCCCCTCCTGTTCTCATATTCACACAGGTGTTTCTTCAATGCTGCTAACTCATAGGACTGAACCTAACACTAGGAACACAGAAAAGATTTTTAAAAATACTAAAACTTGCAAATGACACAAACTGGTCCAATTCATCTCATAATTGAGTTCCAGTACAACCAGTACATTAATTTACAAGAACTTTACTGGCTTTTCCCTCTGCTTTTATCAGAACAGATCATGGCACCTACAGCCTGAAGCATGATTGTGATCTCTGTTAATTCTAAGTTTCTGTATAATGAAGAGCTTCAAACTATGACAACGTTATTGGAGAACTTTCCACATCATAAGGGAACTGAGTAGCTACCTGACTGACAATCAACACGAAGATTTTGAGCGCATTTAAACTAATGTCACGCAGCAGAAGTCTTGTTGCTGCACAAAGCCTAACGCATGGGTTTTGTTGATACTGGCAAAGACTAGAATGAAAACAAAGAGATTTTGGATGCAGGTTCATAGTTCTTTGAATGTGGAGTCACAGTTAGACAGGGTAGTGAAGAAGACATTTAATACATTTACCTTTACTGGTGAGTGCATTGAGTACAGGAGTTGGAATGTCATCTTGCAGCTGTACAGAATATCGGCTAGGCCACTTTTGGAATACTGCATTCAGTTCTGGTCTCTCTGCTATAGCAAAAATAGTGTTAAACCTAAAAGTGTTCAGAAAAGATTTACAAGGATGTTGCCAGAGTTGGAGTATTCGAGCAATAGGGAGATGCTAAACAGGCTAGGGCTATTTTCCTGGAGCGTTAAAGGCTGAGGGGGGAACCTTGTAGATCTTTATAAAATCATGAAGGGCATGGATAGGGTGATTACTCAAGGTCTTTTTCCAGGCTAGGGAAATCTAAAATTGGTGGGCATAGCTTTAAAGTAAGAGGGGAAAGATTTATAAGGGACTTAAGGGACAACTTTTTCATGCAGAGGGTGATGCGTGTATGGAATGAGCTGTCAGAGGAAGCGGTGGAGGCTGGTACAATTTAAAAGGCATCTGGATGGGTACATGAATAGAAAGGTTTAGAGGGATATATGCCAAATGCTGGCAAATGGGATTAGAATAATTTACAATATCTGGTCAGCATAGACAAGTTGGACCGAAGAGTCTGTTTCCATACTGTATATCTCTATGATTCTATAACTGAAGATGGCAGGAATCATAAAGAAAAACAGAAAGTGCTGAAGAAACTCTGTAGGTTTGGCAGTATAAATAAGACAGAAGAGTTGCCAGACCAGCTGAGTTTCTCCAAAATATTTCTGTTTTGTTTTTGGGGAAAAAATAGGCTCTATAGAATCAGAGGATCAGGAAAATCAAGGTTTCAGGCTGAAACCCTTGTTAGGCCTGGGGAGGGGGAGGAGAGTCCAGAGAAAAAAAGAGGGGGGGGGGGGGGCGGGGGGAAGGGAAGGAAAGATGGTGATAGGTAGATACAGGTAGGGGATTACTGTGATTGGTTTGTGGGAAGGGTGGAGCAGATAGTTAAATAGTTGAGTAGAAAGTTAGACAGGTTAGGTGCGGAGGAGGGAGAGGGCTGGTCGTGGAGAGATTCTGAAGTTGGTGAAGTCAATTTTAATTCTCCCTCCCACTCACCTGACGACATGTCCACTCTTGGCCTCCTCCACTGTCAAGAGTGAGACCAAACATAAAATGGAGGAACAGCACTTGATATTTCGCCTTGGGAGCTTACAGCCTAATGGTGTCAACATTGACTGACGAAGGGTCTCGGTCGAAATGTTGACTGATTTGCTGTGCTTTTCCAGCCTCGCACCTATAGACTCTGGCTTCCAGCATCTGCAGTCCTTATTGTCTCCAAAAACAAAACTAGGCTGTCCGCTTTTCGACTGCATGTTGCGCAGCGGCATCGATTGTGGACCAGGACACGCCGAAGCTTAATTTCTCTTAATATATGCGAGCACGAAAAGTATATATTTTTTTCTCTCTCCTCAACCGCCTCTCACACCTGAGTGCTGCGGTGGCTGTCACAACGAAGTCTGGTGGCTCAGTCTAAAATTTCGTCCATCAGCCCCATTATTTTGTAACTTCGGTAGAATATACCAAAAAAAGTTAAATATTGCTGTAGGTGTTTGGATTGTGCTAAAGTTGACACTGAGCTCTATTATGCACCAACCAGCGACATCAAGCCTTTATTAACACCCATCCCCTAAATCTCAATGCAGGTCATCAAATCAAACTTAGTAAAAGTTCAGAAAGTTTACACTCCGATGAATATAAATCTCCAACATACGCAATTAACCTAATCCGTTTATGACTGTGTGGTATTTTTAAACACGCACCATTATAAATAAGTGTGCCAAGGGGCAGGGCTCATTACTTTACCTTGAGGAGTTGCTTGGGGGGGGGGCAATAGGCCGTCTCCGTGGCAACGTGCCCCGGAAATGGTCACGCGGCGACCCGGAAGCGTTGCTGGCGGTGACTGCGCGGTAAATGCAAAGGGAGGACGAGGGAGTGAGAAAGGGCAGTGGGCGAGATTGAGAAAGAGGGTAGAGGCCGGGGAGCTGGAGTTTAACTCGGCCCTCCTCCCCTCTCAGTTGAACACATACCCCCGGGAACTGGCTGGTGCACTCCAGCCGAGGCCTGGCCCCTGCCCCGGGACTCCCTCCTGATACTGTCCCCGGGGAGGGGCAGGGCACCACTGAGGAGAAACCCCCGGGGAATACTGACTGCCGCCATCTTCTGCTTCTGGGTAACAGCTCTTTAATGTCTCCATTATGCCTCGCGATTGTTTTTCCCCCTTTTTATTTCCGGGTAGGATCTTGTTTACTCTCTTATTACGTTCGTCTTTTCGGATTAAAGTTGCTCGGCAGCTTTCATTGTGCGCCAAGACTTGCCCAATCTGAATTTTCTTAATATATGTGAGCACAAAAATATCGTTCTCACTGCTGGATGTCGCGTAGCTGCCACAACGAACTGTTGCTGTTCAGTTTTAAGAATACTTTTGTCAATTTTATAGTCCTATCAATTAAGTCTCCCTTATTTTTGTAACTTTTCAGTCGAAAATATAAAAGTGAAATTCTTGCTGCTTTGCATACAGTCACAAAATATGAATTGAGGTGTGTTGAATGTTGCAGAACAACAGGTGCGGGAAGTGTGTTGCAACGATTGCATGAAGGCTGTCTTTGGTAAAGGAATATCGTAAATTGAAAAGGTGACATTGACTTTAGGGACACTACCACTGCACCGCAAGAACTTACTGAGTTTGGATATATGAGAAGTTTCTGAGTGGATAAATCCAAGATCTGTTAATATTAAAATGCCAATTAAGTGTAAGGAAACAAGGCTTCAATTTTATTAACTTTCCTAAGATGGTCTGTATATTTCCACTGGTTTCTGTCATTGGATCAGTTGGAGAGCTAGCTTTGGTCACAGTATGGAATGTTGATGGAGAAAATAAGTGGGTTCGCTCAAACACTACACACTCTGTTTAAAACAAAACAAAAATCCTCAGCTTTGTGACCTTTTATCATGTTGCATATAAACGTGTTTTGAATTTTCATTTGCCAAGCCTAGATTGGCATGTTCAAGGGATTGATAGACCAGCTTATTTTTTAATTTGTTCTGTCCAATCCAGGAAACTGCTTTCGGCCAACTCAGCCTGGTGCTTCAGTACTTTCAATTTAATGTACTTCTGTTTAAGTTTGTACCGTGTTGACAGATTAGTGCGAATTAGTGGTTCTGCGCTTTATATACGCAATATCATACGCTCACACTTCTCACAGCTTCCTGACTGAACATTAAAACTATCCATGAAGAATTTAGTTCCTGTAGTTCTGTCATCGTTTTGAGCATATCCTCCAGAGTGTTGTGTGGCATTACTACAGTTAAGTCAGATTTCAAACAGGTCTAGCAATTCAAGACTGGGCATTCATGAGGAGCAATGGACAATCAGCAACAGATCTGATCTCCAGCTCAATCTGCAACTTTGTAGCCTGGCATATCCCCACTCCACTATTACCATCAAGCCTGGCTTAATGAAGAGTCCAGTGGGGTATGCCAGAAGCAGCACTTGGCATCTCTAAAAGTTAGCTATCAACCTGGTGAAATCATAACACAGAATTATTTGTATGACGGACCAGGTTATGATTCCACAACTAACAGGTCATTTCTAAGCTCTGAGGTCCTGCCACGTCCACTTCTGAATCATTTTGGACAATTAAACAATTCACTGGAGGAGGAGGCTCCACAGATATCTCCAGGCTTAGTGATGAGGAAGCCTGCCACATCAGTACAGAAAATCAGATTGAAGTATTGCAAGAATCTTCAGCCAAAATTGTCGCGTGGGTGATCCATCTTGGCCTCCTTCAGAGATCGTCAGAATAACAGATACCAGTCTTTATCCCATTCAGTCCACCTTACATGATATCAAGAATGGCCAAATACGTTGAATATCAGAGGATATGGACCCCGACAACATTCCAGCAAAAATAATGAAGACTTGTGCTCCATAACTTGCTGAGCCCCAAATCAAGCAGTTTCGCTACAAGTACAACACTGGCAACTACCTGACAATGTGGGAAATTGCCCATATGTGTCCTGTACTCAAAGTTTGACAAAATCAATTCAGCCCATTACTTCCCTATCCAGTCTGCTCTCGGTTATCAATAAAATGATAGCAGTGTTGATACCACCGTATATCAAGCAGAACCTCCTTAGCAAAAGGCTGCTTGCTGACTTTCACTTTGAGTTCCACCAGGCTGACTTGCTCCTGACCTCATTGCAGCTTTGTTTCTAATATGGATAAAAGGTCTGAATTCTAGACATGAAGGAAAGAGTGACTGACCTTGACATCAAGGCTGCATTTGACAATGTAGCGTCAAGGAGTCCTAGCAAACCTCTAGAGTCAGTGGGATTTGGGGATATCTCTCTGGTTGAAGTCAAACCTGGCATAAAGAAGGATGGCCGTGCTTGTTGGAGGTCAGCCCCATAATATTCTGCAGGAGTTCTTCAGGGTAGATATCTTTAATCAACCTGTTCAGACGTGTTATGACACATTTCTGCAGCATGTGGAACTTGAACCCAGGACTTCTGACGCAGAGTTTGAGACACTTGTGCCACAAAAGCCCCTAGTTCTTCAGCGTACCTTTTTTCTAATCACCTGATTCAGAAATGTTATTACACACCTCTAGAGCAGCTAGGACTTGAACCCTAGCCTTCTAGCTCAGAAGTACAGACACGAATCACAGCAGTCCCGGTTCTTTAGAGTAGATATTTTTTAATCACAAAGGCAAGCACTTCAGGTCTGGAGAAGGGTCACTGGAGCCGAAACATTAATTTTGATTTCTCTTCACAGATACTGCCAGACCTGAATTTTTTCCAGCAATTTCTGTTTTTTGTTTTTTGTTCTTATTTCTTATTTTCAACATCTGCAATTCTTTTCATTTTTTATTTTCTAATCACCCTGTTCACATATTATTACACATTTGAGGAGCAGGTATGACTTGAACCAAGGAGCTGTGAGACAGCAGCAGGGACACTACCATTACACCACTATAGTTCCCCAGTTCTTCAGCTGCTTCAACAATAACCTCCCCTTCATCGTAAGGTCATTCGTGGGGATGTTTGCTGATCACTGCACAATGTTTAGCTCCATCGCATCTCCTCCAATACTGAAGGAGTGCGTGGCTAAATGCAGCAAAACCTGGTCAACATTTGGGCTGACAAATGGAAGGTAACATTTGTGCCACACGGGTGCCAGGCAATGACCATCTGCAACAATAGTGAATCTAACCATCATTCCTTGACATTAAGTGGCACTACCATTGCTGCTGAATCAAAGATTCATAGATGTTTACTGCACAGGAGGTCCATAAGAAATAGGAACAGGAGAAGATAACTCTGTATGGAGCTGGAGGAACACAGCAAACCAGGCAGCATCAGAGGAACAAGAAAGTTGACGTTTCGGGCCAGTAAGGAACAGGAGAAGGCTGCTCGGTCCCTTGAGCCTGCAATGCTATTCATTAGGATCATGGTTGATCTGATATTCCTCAGATTCCCTTCCTTGCCCTTTCCTCAACCCTCAATTTTCCCCTACTAATCTAAGAATCTACCTCAGGCTTAATATCCACAAGGAATCTGCCCCCGCAGCTATCTATGGCAAGGAGTTTCAATAATTTTCAACCACTGAAGGAAGAAATTCCTCCTCATTTCAGTCTTAAATTGCTATCCCATTGTTCTAAGACTATGCCCTCTGGTCCTAAACTCATCAGGAAAGTATCCTCTCAGCGTTTTACCATGTCAAATCCCTTTTATGTTTTCATAAGATCACTTTTTATTCTTCTAAACTCCAGTAAATAGAGTGCCAACCTGTTTAGCCTTTGCTCAAAGACGATCCTTCCATTCCCAGGATCTTCCTCATGAGCCTTCTCTGAACTACCTCTAATGAAATGATATCTTTCCTCCAATGACGGAACCAGAATTCTTCACAGTATCGCGGATGAGGCCTCACCAGCATCTTGTACAGTTGCAGTGAGACTTGCCTACTCTTATACTCCAACCTTCTTGAAATAAGGATCATTCACTTTCCTGATTACCTGCTGCACCTGTGTGCTAGCTTTCTGGATTTCATGCACAAGTACCCCCAAGTCCCTTTTGTCTTTTAGCTTTCTGCAGTTGTTCATTAAAAATTAGAATTTGGTAGGGACAGATATACTTGTAGAGAAAGGGATAGTAGACGTGGTTTTGCTAAGGGAGTGTAGTGTTTGACAAATTTGATCAAATCTTTTGGTGGTAACCGGGAGTGTTGATGAGACTAGGGCATTTGATGTGGTCTACATGAACTTCAAGACTTTTGATAAGATCCATCATAGAAGACTGGTCAAGAAAGTAAGAGCCCACTGGGTCCAAGGAAAGTGGCACATTGGATCCAAAATTGGGTGAGAGGCAGGATGCTGTATGTGACAGTGGGATGTATCTGTGACTGAAAGTCTATTTCCAGTCTTAGTTCTGGAGTCCTTGCTGTTTATGGCATGCGTTAATGATCTAGACTTGAATGTGGAGGGTCTGATCAAGAAGTTTGAAGATAACACAAAAAAAATTGTTAGGGTGGTAGATAGTGGAAGGTGTCAATAGATTAGTCAGGTGGGCAGCTGAGTGTCAAATGGAATTCAATCCAGAAAACTTTGAACTAATACACTTGAGGGCTAACAAGGCAAAAGCCTATAAGCACGAATGGTAGAACCCTGCAAAGTATTGTAAATCAGAGACCCTCATCTCTGATTTACACAGATCCCTGAAATAGTAGGACAGATTGGTAGCATGGTTAAGAAGGCATGTGGGATACTTGCCTTTATTAGCTGAGGGACAATACAAGAGTAAGGAGGTCATGCTGAAATTCTGAATAATTGTACTGGATTTGAACTAGAAAGTTA